CACTTTTTGATACAGTACTCTCAGTTTATTTTTTGAAGTTAGTATTATGGAAATTTAGAATAGCATAGTAACTCCCCATGTACCCTTCACCCAGTTTTAGAAGTTATCAACATTTTGCCATGTTTTAAAATTATGAAAACAGCATTACTAAAAGTTTGGAAATCAGAATGAAAATCACCTATGGCCTCATCCACCTCACCAACTCTGATGGTTGCATGTATTCTCTTCCATTCTTCCCTTAAAGTTGTAATAGCTAGATACCGTTTCCCTCTTCTTTTTGCTGAGCATCATATTAAACTAGGAGCTAACAATAACTGTTATCATCGATAAATGTCCTCTGGTGCCAGGGCCCAGGCTAGTTGCTTCCTATTTGATTCATAGAATCGTAACAATAAGAACACAGTACAGGCAGCTCCCCACCTGCCCCCATTTACAGGCAAGGAGCCTGAGACTCAGAGAGGTTAAGTAACTTACTCAAGAATCATATATCAAGTATATGGGTTCAAACTAAGGTGTAACTCCAAGGCCATGATCCTTCCTCCTATAAAGTGACTTCTTCAAAAGCATTTTTTTCGTGTTGCTACATGATACATTTTTAAGCAAAGAGGAATGTCAGTACATAAGTTTGACCACATAATCTATAGAAGCAGCACCAGAATAGATGATGCTGAGGATTTAAAGGGATAAAGGCATGATCCCTGCCCTTTAGTGTCTGCTTCAGTGCGGAAAAACTAACCCCTATGACACACATACAAAGAATACACAATAGGGCTTAATGTGGTAGTATTTGCTATAGTAAAAACTCTACAGAAAAGGAGATAAATGAGGATTATGTCCCATATGCAGAGAAGGCTGCTAACAGATTTAGGATTTCAGCTAAAATTAAGAAGACTGACAATGCCAAGTATTGGTGAGAATGTGGGACACCCAGATTTCTCACGCGTGGCTCGTAGGAGGGTAAATGGTAAAACACTTTGGAAAACAGTTTGACAGTTTCTTATAAAAATGTATTTATCTATGAGTCAGCAATTCTCCGAGGCATTTACCTATGAAAAGTGAAAGCTTATGTCTGTTAAAAGACATGTACATGTGTATTATAGCAGCTTGTATATAATAAGCCTGTTTTCATTTTCTTTTGTTGAGTAACAAATTACACAAACTACATCCATTTATGAAGTCACTGTTCTGGAGATAGGAAATTCAGCATGGCGTGGCTGGGTTCTCTGCGCGGAGTCTTATGAGGCTGAAATGAAGGTGCCAGCAAGAATGAGTTCTCGTCTAGAAGCTCTGGGGAGAAAGTCCACTTTCAGCTCATTCTTCTTGTCGGAAGAATTCAGTATCGTGCAGCTGCAGGACTGAGGCCCTGCTTCCTTGCTGGGTGTTCGCTGGGCACCACTCTCAGCTCCTAGGGGTCACCTGCCTTCCTTGTCATGTAGTCCCCTCCATCTCACATCACCAACAACATATCGAACCCTTCTTGTGCTTCAAATTGCTGCCTTTTTGTACTGCCAGCTGGAGAGAACTCATCATGATTAGACCAGGCCCACCTCAGTAATCTCCCTGTCAATTGCACCAACTAACAACCTAACCACTGGAGTAGTTAATCCTGGGGATTAGGAAGGTGCACACTGGGCCGGGGTCTTGCAGAAATCTCAGGATTCTGTCGACCACAAACCCCCAATTGGAAACAACCCAGAGGTGCATCAACAGGAGAATGGATAAACAAACTGCGGTGTATAGCCATACTCTGGAAAACCCATAGCCCTAGCAAGGGACAGATTATTCATATTCATAATAACACAGATGCATCTCAGAAACTTGGTGCTGAAAGAAGCATAAAGAGTACTCATTGTATGATTCCATTGGTTTGAAGTTCTGGAAGAAGCACAACTAATCTGTGATAATAGAAAATAAAAGTAGTGGTTATTGTGGGGATAAGAAGGTGGCGATAGCCTGAGAATGGGCACAGGAGAACTTTCTAGGGGTGGTGAACGTGGGTGACCTCTTGGTAGGAGTGTGGATTACATAGGTGCTTTCATTTGTCACATGCTTAAGATCTGTTTATTGCACTGACTGTAAATTCCACCCTAATTTATAGAAACTAAAACATTACTCTGCTGGGTCCTTGTTTTAAGAAATGAATCACATATATATGCTAATGTACCACTATATATATATCTATATATACCATCATAAAACATGAAAGCGAGAAACAACTTTACAAATTGTCTATTCTAATTCCCTTTTAAGCACTGTGGCCTTGATGAAGAAAAAAATTGAAAATTCCTCATGATAAAATCTGCTGCAGCCACCCTCTGCACTCAGGAGGGGAGGTAGACAGCGGCACCCATTGGGGCTGCCAGCAGGAAATGCGACAGGACAGGCAGCGACCATCTAGAAGTGTGAGCACGAATCTGGATGGAGACATTTTCCTTAGATATGTTTGGCAGGAGACAGTTTTCTTACTGAGGTTGGTTTGATCAGGGAATTCACAGCATTATGCTGCTGCCCCGTGGCTTGGCTACGAAATAAGTTGTAGAAACTCCACTGTGGTTATGGCTAATAAAAGACATACAGTACATGGTGTTAATTTCAGTGTCTATCACTTACCCTACCTCTATAGAAATCAGTGATCTATAAGATAACCAAATGTTTTATGATGTTATGAGCAGTAAAAGAACAAACTTAGGTAGATGGTATTCACAAAGCTGCCCTCCGCAATTTTTAGGCTATTCTTTTTATTTATTTTAATTGATTTCAGAGAAGGAGAAGGAGAGATAGATAGAGACATCAATGATGAAAGAGAATCATGGATCGGCTGCTTCCTGCACACCCCACACTGGGGATTGAGCCCGAAACCCTGGTATGTGCCCTGACCGGAATGGAACCATGACCTCCTGGTTCATAGGTCGAGCCATGCTAGGTGGGCTAGGCTATGCTTTTAAAAAGTTTCACATCTACGAGATTAGTTTCCTAGGTTACATTACCTTCATATGATTCCCTGGCTGATTATTGACTTTATATTTTAAGTGCATAATGAAAATATTTAGATGGTTATTAAAATCACTATAATTTAAACAGTTTGGTTATCTTAAAAATTCTGTATTGTGTTTTGCCCTTTTGTGATGAGGCGTGGCCACATGCTAGAGTTTAAATTTTTAAGTTTATTTTCTTAGTGTCTGAAGCCTATGTTCATCGACACCTCTGTAAGCATTTCAGGTTCTCTCAGTTGTTGGAGTAGCTTTCCAGAGTGGGCCTGGCTCCTTTCAGTGATGTAAAGAGAATTAATAAACACCCACTCCATCCTACCAAAGCTACTTATATGTTGAGTGGTTAATATAATTCAATAAACTAGGAGTTTGGGAATTAGTATTTTCAAATTCTTTGAGTTCTGAGAAATTGCAGTTTTTCGTATAGATAACTCATGATAATCCTCTGTGTAATTGTACTACAACAATTCTGTTTTTTCTGTATTACACAATATAGTATTGACTTGTAGTTAATGTAAAGTGATTTTGTTAGATAAACTCTTTGTCTTGATCTATAGGTATTAAAATAATTATTATTTAAAATATCTACACACCAAAAAAACCAACACTGTGCAATTGCTCTTCTATGAGGTATTAAATTCATAGAAACAGAAAGTAGATGTGGTTGCCAAGGCTGGGGGGAAGGAGAATTGTTGTTTAATGGGTAGAGGGTTTTGGTTTGGCAAGATGGAAAAGTTCAGAAGTGTTGCAAAACTGAATATGCTTATGATTGCTGAACTGTACACTTTTAGATGGTGATGATGGCAACTTTTAGGTTATGGGTATTTTACCACAATTGAAAGTAAAAGAAAATATTATAATATCTACTATGTTTTTCATTTTTGAGATGAGAAAACCAAGGCAATAATTATAAGCAAGAAACGTAAGATGTAGCTTAATCTGTTTACTTCTTTTTTTCATCTCTCCTTACCCCATCTTTTTGTCCATTTTCGATTTTGCAGCACATCTTGGGCTTAAACTCCTTCCCAAAGTTGCTTGATTGGTAGATTTAAAACATTTTAATATGAAACAAACCATAACTGAAAATGAAGCAGGCATTCATGTAATCTGCTGCTCTTTGCCTAGCACTTCAACCTGTTACTAGGGACATTTAAAAAGTAGGGAGCAACCACTGTGTCAGGCACTGTGCTAGCATGTCCACATATGTGTTTTGAGAATTGATCGTTTATCAGAAATGAATTAAATTGGCCAGACTGAAAGCAACTTTTGATTATTATTGTCTTTTAAGATTGTTTTGGCCGTGGGAATATTTTACTGCTTGGGACAGTTTATACATTACTTAATGAGGATATTTTCCTAATAAGAGTACATTTTGGTGTTAAAAATTGTGCTTTTATGTATTTAACTGTATGAGGAGCTAATTTCCAATATGTGGGTAGCCATAATGTCTCCAGGGTGTTCCTTCTGCCAGATTTATATCCCTGGAGGCAAAGCTGGAGGGAACAGGACGGTACACATTCTCTTCTAACTCCCGCCTCCTGGTACTGCTCAGAGTTCTTAGCCAAGTGCTGCACTCTCGCGAAAGGAGGAAGACCGGGCATCAGAATGTTTGTGTTAGCAGTTATTTTTAGCAGCAGATCTAGAAAATGTTAGCGTTTTCATTTTAGGGTGATACTTTTATATTTATTGATAATCCCAAAAGGAGTGAATGATTTTAGATTTCGGTGTGTGAGTGCTTGTATGCAGTATGCACGTTTGTGTGACAGAGAGGGGGAGGGTTGGAGAAAGTGGAAAGGAGGGAGGGAAAGGGAGAGGAAGGGGAGAACGAGAGAGAGAGAGAGAAAGAGAGAGAGAGAGAGAGAGAGAGAGAGAGAGAAGGAGACATCCCCTTACTAACAGGAGGGGACAGGGGCTTACTCAGTCTGTTATCATAAAGCTCTGCTAATGTAGCTTCTGAGTCATGTGACTGCAGAAAAGGCTATTATCTCAATGAAAAGGAAACTCGTTTTTAGAGCAAGCATAGAATAGAAGCAGGAAGAATTTTCGAGTGTTCCACCATGCTGGATTGTCAAAGGGAGATCTGTCTGATCAGCAGCTAAAAAAGGATTTGAGAGGCTAGTTTGTCAGCTGTGGTTAGAAACAAATGATAGACGGAGCTAAGCGGCAGGGGGCTCAGCATGTGTTTAGGTTGCCATTGGGGCAGAAGCAGAAGGTGGGTTTGGGTTAATAGAGAAGATTTATCTCTGAGGCAATAAATTTATTGCTAATTGTGGGGGGGCTTTTTGTTTTTGTTTTGTTGTTTTTGGTGCGGGTTTTTGGAAGAGTGGTGTGTGGCGTTTTTATTTACACCACTGGTGAAGATAAAGACAAGCTGCTGAACTCTGGTTTGAACTGCAGAGGCTGTGGACAATTACAAGGTGTGTTTCACGAGTGCTCTGACTGATGTTTGGTAATGTTCTTGGAATTCGGTGTGCTTGTGGATTGGATGTGCTGTTGCCGACCGGAGCGGGAGAACTAAGCATGACAATCAGGCAGTGGTAATGCCCTCAGGAACAAATAGGTACAATGCGATCCCAATTGGTTCCTTCCTGGTCCTTATTTCTTTTGTGTTTATTTAGTGACTTAAGGTTTCTTGCAGCTTCTTTATGTGGCCAAATACAGCCTCATGCTTATTTTAGAAAATATTTTTGATAAGCATTTTCTCAAATTCAGAAGAAGAATCTAATGCAAATCTTAATCATTAAGGAATAAATATAAACTTTATATTTCCATCTCTTTATTTTTTCAATATCCCTTTGAAATTCAATCTTAAAAGTGAGCTTTTCAGTGAATTTGAAATTATTTAATTTTTGGTTGGGTAATAAATGAAGGTTTCTTTTTTGGCTGAGCACTAATTAATAAAATTTTTCTTTCTATATATATAGTACCTAACTTTCTCTGATTTATTACATCCTTATGCTACTGCATTCAGGAAGCTAAAAACACCCAGTTAATCTTTATACTGTGCTTGTCCACTTTTGCTCATGCTAATGCTATTAATTCTCTTTGCAGTCTGTACCTTTCTGCTAACCTTGGAAGGTGTAGTGCTAAAAAATCTGAGATTGGTGAAAGATAATTATAAGCTTTATCTGAAGGGTTAACTATTACACAATATGTGCCTGAGGAATGAATTCACTAGCATATTTTTCATTTACCTTCTATACCAGATATGCCCCATTTGAGGTATATATTTTTAAATCACACATTTTGACACTAAGTATACTGTTTACATCTCCCTTGTGAAATTGACATTGAACTAGGAAAGAAATCTATCAAGCTATTATGCACTGTATAGAGAGTTTACAAAGTATTTATCTTTAAAAAAAAATAGTGAGAGTAGCTCAAACATAATTTTTAATTATACTAAGTACAGGCTATTTTCTTTCTTATAATATTTATAAACCATATCTTAGCATAATATAGTTTAATGAATCATTAATCTTATTATGGTGGGATTTTCTTTATTAAAAATCACTGGTACTTTAGTTTATCTCCATAAAAAGACAATTTGGTTTAACTAAACACTTAAGTAACTGTGGCTTTGATTGTTTTGGAATTTTTCTCTTTAATTCTGGGCCTCTCCCACCTTCTTGAAAGTTGTCTGTAAGACAGGGTTGCATACTGGTTTCAGCCCAAAAGTCACTAGCGTCATATGTTAAAATTTTGAATAATAAAAATTAGATAGTCAGAGTATTTGGACTTTCTTTGTTTTTCTTTTAAATTTTATTTTGTTGCCTTATCTAAAGTCTTTGAAGTGATCCAAGGACTTTAGAATAATTCAGGGTGGTTTTATTGAGCACATAATATTATTACAAGACCACTCCATAAAGCAATATGAGAAAACAAAGGCAAATACGATATTTAAACCAGCATGATAACTTATAACTGGCACTGGAACCCAGCCTCAATAAATGTAATTGTACTGTACAGCATCACCTCCAATAAGATTGCTTCCTTCAATGTCACTTTGTTATAACATTGATGAGGGGGGGGAAATCAATTCCTGACTGGGGCCACTGTCTGTGTGGAGAATGTATGCTCTTCTCACATCTGTGTGGGGGTTTTCTAGGGACTCCAGGTTCCTCCCTCATCCCAGAGATGTGCACGTGAGGTTGGTAGGCATGGCTACTTGTCACTGTCTGAGTGTGGGTGGGTGTGAGTGGCCCTGTGATGGAGGGCGCCCTGTCCAGGGTGGGTCCTGCCTTGGGCCCTGAGTGTGGTGACAGGCTCTGGTCACAGAGACCCTGAACTGGAATCAGTGGGGGTGGAAAATAGTTACCTTATTTGTTTTCATGAATCTTTCGTGAATATATTTCTCAAATGTGTGGTTAGCTCACACTTATTTCAGTGTTTAATATTAGAAGTGTTTTGGGTCTTTAACAATGTTTGATGATGTTTTTGTGATCAGAAATATATCTTAAGAACTCAACTCTTGTTTCTATCATTTAGTCTGTGGTCAAATTGGTTTCATTATAGGCCCTTTCACTTAACATTGAAGTTTCCTAGAACCATTGATGATGTTAAGTGAACACTTACTGTATCCTATAGGAATTTTTAATTGTTGAGAGGAATTTTTGGTACAACTTGTTTGGCCAATCAGAGAATACATTCGTCAATCTTCATGAATGACTTTTCACATGTGCAGGTTTAAATGGTAGTTTTAACTGGTGTCCATCTGTGGTAGTTCCTTATCTCCTTTGTATCATAACAAAAGGAAGTTCATTTTGTTTACAGCCACTTAAAACTAGGGTAGTTTTTGTTCCTGATCGTGTTGGTTTTCTCCTAGGACATCAAATATTACTCCTTTACATTCTAAAATACTTTTATGTTGTATTGTCACAAAATACCTTTACTTTTGGAGGTTGGCAGTGCGAAGAACCTCAGTCTTATGATTAGAGCTAAAAGGCACGAGTTTTGACGTCAGGGTAGTGTCTAAACAAGCCAGGTGACTAGCTTGCAAATCCTGCTGCACTTGAGAATTCCAACCACAGTAATTAACCGCAAATATTACAACCAGGTCTGAGCTTGTCGGGCTGAGGGGGTTTGTTGCTGGGAACAATCTTTAATTTGTGCAAAAGATAGGGTAAGAAAAGATGGAATTCAAGGTGATCTTAGTATTCAGTGTTGTAAAATTCAGTGAAATATGTACATAGGAATTTTTTTGTTTGTGAAAGTAAATGTTTGGGAAGATTTAGATGGGATTAGGTATTGGGCTATATTTAATACACAGTTTAATTCTTGGGAAGCCAAGGGGATGTAAAATTAATGAAGTGAAAACATCTGTGCAACAGCTAGCAAATTGTTCCCGGGGACCTCGTAGAGGGTTTACTCCAAAAATTATCACTCAGAACTGCTGAGAAAAGTTTGGAATCTCTTGGCTTACCCATTTCTCTCTCAAGTGTTGTAGTCCTTAAAGAGGTAAGCCCTGGCATTGTCTGGTGTGTATTTTAGTTGTAGCAGTGACTCCTTTCACCAAGCTCACAGTTAATATGCAGGGTTATAGCTTAGTCTAACATAAGCATACATTGGCTTTAACTGTAAAGATACCTTAATTATTATTATTTTTTAATAAATATTTTGCCTGAAACATTAAATACTACCATCTTGATGTTGAATAAAGTATTTCTTTTTAAAACCCAGTCAAGATGAGAAATATATAGCCATACTTGGGAGATATTGGGGTTCGGTTCCAGAACACCACCGTAATAAAGCAAAGGTCGCAATAAAGCAAGTCACACATTTTTTTGGTTTCCCGGTGCATATAAAAGTTAGGTTTACACTATACTATGGTATATTAAGTGAGCAATAGCATATGTCTAAAAAAACAGTGCACGTACCTTTGTTAAAAATACCTTATTGCCCCAATTTAAAAAAATCAATTAGCCCTGACTGGTTTGGCTAAGTGGATAGAGCATCGGCCTTCGGACAGAAGGGTCCCAGGTTCGATTCCAGTCAAGGGCATGTACCTTGGTTGCGGGCACATTCCCAGTAGGTGGTGTGCAGGAGGCAGCTGGTCGATGTTTCTAACTCTCTATCCCTCTCCCTTCCTCTCTGTAAAAAATCAATAAAATATATTTAAATTAATTAATTTAAAAATTTTTAATTTTAAAAGTACTTGTTATCTGATGAAGTTTCAACATAATACTTATTGACTAGTATCTAAGGATTTACAGATATAAAACATGAATTGTAAATATAAACCTCATAGTCAATTAACTATTATTTGACTTAACATATAAAATGATGAAACCAAACATCTAGCTTCTACCTCAATACAAGCATAACTTGTTTTATTGCACTTCACAGTGATTGTGTGTGTGTGTGTGTGTGTGTGTGTGTGTGTTTAAACAAATTGAAAGTTTATGCCATAAACTTTATGGCAACCCTGTGTTAAGTTGAGCAAGTCTATTGGCACCATTTGTTCAATAGCAGTTGCTAACTTCCTGTCTCTTGTCACATTTTGGTAATTTTAGCTATATTTCAAACTTTTTCGTTATTATTATTATACTTGTCATGGTGACCTGTGATCGCTGGTCTTTGATGTTACTCTTATAATTGCTTCGGTGAACTTAATCAATACGTGTTCTGAATGCTCCATAGACTGGCTATTTATTTTTTTTATTTTGAGAGAGAGACATTGATTTGTTGTTCCACTTATTGATGCATTCATTGGTTGATTCTTGTATGTGCCCTGACCAGGGATCGAACCTGTAACCTTGGTATATTGGGACTATGCTCTAACTGACTGAGCAACTTAATTGTTTTTAATTGGCCTTTTCAAATTTTGCTTTTGTGTTTTAGAATTTTAAATGAGAAAATGTTTAATTTAAAATTTTATTTTTATTTAATCTTATTACTTTTCCCCTCTCATTTTTTATTAATTGAATTTCCCCCCTTTTGATGAGGAAAACAACATTAGTAAATAGCAGTGATATTGTTAACCATAAAGCTAATCTTTATGTAGAATTTATTATGTGCCACATACTGTTCTAAGGATCTCACATATATTGATTTAGTCCTTATAGCAACATTGTTTGTGCTGTCCTTTGCCTGCACAGGAAACAGGCACAGAGAGGAAAAGTAACTTGTCTAAGCTCACACAGGTATAATAAGCAGTGAAGTAGGATTCAGACCCAGGCAGTTGCCTCTATAGCCTACACTCTAAATTGCTATATATACTGGGTTCAAATGGTGCTGCTGTTGGAGTTGCTGATTTATTCTGGAATGGGGACAGGATGAGCATAGGGATAAGGATTAAGGTAGAACTGATTTTGTTTTTTAATGCTTATACGTTTAATGAACTTTATTTCTATTCTACTTCAAATATGTTATAAGACGAAAGCATTGTTTAAATGGTGTTTGGTTTGCACTGGAAACA